TATATATATATGCACACACACACACAACTTGGCACATTTAAAAACGCTCTCTCTTGTAAGAACATTTAAAACGTAGATGCATATGTATGTCTGAGAAGACAACAAAGCAAAGCTTTTTAAATTTTATTTGTAAAGAGACAGTAGAGCCCTGGCTTCTGGCCAAGAGCATGGGCAGGAGGAGACACCCTGGACATAGCTCCTGATGAGGAAGTCATTCAGGAGGGCAGAGGGAGAGGGGCTGGGAGTGAGAGAGAGCACCCTGGCTCTCAGAGAGATGGACATCAAAACTGTACAATTAAGAAAACAGTGTAGTGTTTTCAACTGATAAATCTACACTCACGACAAATACTCGGGCGGTGAATGCTGCCGAGCAGTCTGTGGTGGCCTGTGGGAGGAAGAGAGCAGTGTAGTGTGGCTAACATGACCGGTCTGGAGTGGGTCTTCACTGGCACAGCGCAGCAGACACACAGGAGCCACGGTGCATCAGGGCGGCGCTGTGCTGCGGGGCCTGGCTTCCTCAGGGAAACAAACAAAACCATACTCCGCAGGTGATGAAAGTACAACAAAAACAATGATGAGGACCGACCTTCTGAGCCCACGGGGGGCCTTCCCAGGCCTGATTCTGTTCTGGGGAGCAGAGGTAGGGAGGGCAGCCGCGACAAGTCCTTTGAGTGTCAGCTCCTGTTTTACTTTGGACCTGGCCGGGCACGAAAGGAGAGGGACTTACCCAGCCAAGGAACTGGGAAGAGCCCTAGCCACCATCTGTGTCCTAGGTCTGGGCAGCTCTTAGAGCCAACAGAGGACAGGGGAGGGCTGGGGACCTTGGCCTTTCCCTTCGGATGCTGAGTTATACCTGGGTACAGGAAGCAGCATCTTAGCCGTGCTGTGGGATCAGAGGATGATCCAGAAAAACCCAAGCTGTGGGGAAAGGAAGTTTTGTAAAGTACCAACAGGTTCTGGTCATCCCCAGTGTGGTCCTCCCTCTTCTCTGCATTAAGCCTTAGGGTGAAGCAATGGAGAGGAAATTAATTAAACTTGAGCCGCCTCAGACAGATCAAAGGGATCTTCCTCTGCCTCTCCACTTGCTCTGAGTACCTAATAACAACATGGCCCCATTCCCATTGCCTGGGTGGACCTTCCTGCCCCAGCCTACATCCAGAGAGCAGGAGGCAGGACTGACTGGCTCCACTGGATCCCAGATGCTCGAGGTTCTCATTCTTTGAGGGTCACTTCCGAAAGCCGCTTTCTGGGATGAACAAAGTACGTCTGCGCAGTTTCCTGCCTGATCCTTCTTCCAGCAAGTAAGTAACATCGATGGCTGAAAACAGAACCAAGAAGTTTCATCAAGTATCACTCTGCCACTCCTTACACCAGACTGAGCTTCAAGGGACACAGGAATTCACTGAGTCCCTTTTGGACTGAGAAGCAATTCAGGCTCCCCCCAGCCCTGCACGGAAGGAGGTCGTCTCCCCTGCCAGCCTGTGAAGATTCAACCAAAGGCAGGCATGTGACAACTGCTCTGTTTCCTTTCTTAGCACATTTTCCATGCTGGACCAGTAATTAAAAGTTGTCCCGGGGAGAAAAAGTCTTTCTGGGGTCTGAGGGTTCAGTGGTGAAGCCCTGGGTTTGACTGTCAGCAATCTTTTTCGTTATCTCTCAACCTATTTCTCGCTTGTCTTCAACCCTACATATGAGCCTGATTTTTCTTACCGTTTTTCCCAGGGATTTTTTCAAGGAGATTGAGCAAGATCTGGTTGAGTCGTTCCCGCTGGCTATGCCGTCGTTCCTCAGGGGTACAGGCTGGCTGGGGATCCTGAGCACTTTCCTCTAGTTTCTTCTCACCCTCGCCGACCTCAGCAGGCGTGCCCTCCCGCTCGGGCTCCTCCAGGCTTGGCATCTCACTGGCTGCTTGCTCCTGACTGGCCAGCACCTCTTCAATCAGGGGCAGAGCATCGTCCTCCTGGCCCAGGTCTTTCAGGGGTGGCTTTGAGCGCTCAGACTTCCAAGATGATCTGCCAAAAGGGCACGTGCGTTTAGGACAAAACCCAAGAAGACATTTGGGGAGGAGAGGAGGGTAAAGGGTGGCTTAGATTCTGTTAGTGCCTCCACTCAATGTAAGAAACTTGACTGGTTTTCACTTTATTATTATTTGAATAAGTCACTACCTTTTTTTTTTTTTTTGGTACAGGGGACCAATCTCGAGACCTTGCAGCTGCAAGGCAGGTGGCGGAACCACTGAGCTAAATCCCCAGCCCTAAAATTTAATTTCTATTCACAAAATTAAATATTTCTCTTTTTCTCATGGATCTGAGGCAAAAATGAGATAGAAATCCATAAAATATACCAGGGCTGGTAAAACTGCTTAGGTGGCTCCGCCTGCTTCATAGAGAAAAGTGTGGCACCAGCTGGTGATACCAATAGGCTACCCACAGTGCTAAGTAACAGCAGCTGCTGCTTTTTGAGAGTGTCTTGCTATATACTCCAGGGCGGTTTGAACCCATGAGCCTCCTGCCTCACCCTTCTGAATGTGTGTATCACCATGTCTGGCTCTTTTTTTGTACTGAGGATCAAACTCAGGACCTCGTGCTTGCCAGGCAGGTTCCGTGCCACTAATCTACATCCCCAGCCCCTCCTTTGGTTTTTTTCAGACAAGGTCTCACTATATAGTTCAGGCTGACCTTGAACTCACTATGTAAGCTGGCCTCTAACTCGTGAGGATGTTTCTGCTTCAGCCTCCCAAGTGTTGGGATTACAGGGTGTGACACATGCCCATGCCTCACTGCTGTGTGTGTGGTTCTGGAGATGGCACCCAGGGGTGCTGAGCTACATCCCCAACTCACTCCACTTAAAGAAACTTGTATTAATTTTTTTAAAAATTTGATTTGACTTTTTTTTTGGTACTGGGATTGAACTTGGATCCTTGTGTTTGCGAGGCAGGCGGCGGAACCACTGAGCTAAATCCCTAGCCCTTTTTTTTTTTAAATTTGAAAAAAGGTCTCCTAGATCCCTCTGGCTGGGCTTGAATTTGAGATCCTCCTCCCTCTGCCTCCCAGTGCTGGGACTATCGGTGTGTCACCGTAACTGGCTCACACAGGCCTTGACATGGAGTTTCATTTTCTGAATCCCCTTTCACATCTATTGTCTAGGATTCCTCCCCAATGGGAGCTTCTGCTGTGGGAAAGCAGGTGTTATGCCCACTCAAAAGGATAAGGAAACCGACGAGGACGCTTCTGTGCAGTTTCTCCAGGAATACCCTTCTCCTGTAGAAACGAGAACTACACATCTGGGTACAGGCAAGCAACAGTAAAATCTATACAGCCAGGCACTGCAGTGGATCCCAAGGTCAAACCCAGCCTGGGCAACTCACAACCATTCCCCCCCAAAAAAAAGGATGGAAAGGGGCTGGGCATGTGGCCCAGTGGTATAGTGCCTCTGGGTTTGAGTGTCACTACTGCAAGAACAAAACACAAAAATTATGAGCCCACACTGCACTCCTGACTGCATCTTAACCTGACACATCTTAGCCGGGCATGGTGGCGCATGGCTGGGAGGCTGAGGCAGGAGGATCACTGTTGATCACTGTTGTTCGAGGCCAGCCTGGACTACATAGCAACGCCTTGCCTCAAAACAACAAAAACCTTGAGGTAACAGGAAAACTTGTAGACATCTAAAAAAGACTTTTTTGGGTCTACCTGGAATTCTGTTGCAAATCTTTTTCCCTTCTGTCTGCCTCCCACCAATCCAGCCCTGTCCAGCTAAGACTGCATGACGGGAAGACGTCAGGTTCTTGTGTTAGAGCCGTCACCCCACCGGGCCTCTGCAGGGAGCCGGGTCCTGGGTGAGGGGCTGGGTGGACAGGGTTTGTTCTCAGGCCCAGCCATACTCTGGGCCAGGCCCGTAGGGTCCCTCGGTTCTGCCTGGGACTCACCTCCCTCCATTCCTCTTGTAGTTGTCTGGAACATAGTGAGGCTGCAGGGAAGAAAAGGAAGAGGTAAGTGTCTGGCGGAGGCTAGCAAAGCTAGATCTGATCTGGGGCCACTCAGGGTAAGGCTGAGTTGTTTCTTTTTTGGTACCTGGCATCGAATTCATGACCTTGTGCTTGTGAGGCAGGTTCGGTGCCACTGAGCTACATCTCTGGCCCCCAACTGAGTTTTTGAATGAACCCAGGGCCTCTGCAATACACTACATCCTCAGTCTTTTTTTTTCATTTTTTGAGTCTCACCAAGTTACTAAATTGCCCAGGCTGGGCTTGAACCTGCAAGTCTCTTGTCTCAGATTCCCAGAATGCATGGCGTGCACCACCATGTTCAGCTGGATGACTGTGTTTTAAGGTCAGATTTCAAGACTTATAGCGATTTGTAGGCCACAATAGTTTTTAGCAATTTTGTAATCCCTGAATGATAGCAGTGATAGAAGAGACAAGCTCATAATTTTCTTTGCCCTAGCCTATCTTTGCAGTTTTTTTTTTTTTTGAGACAGGATCTCACTCTGTATTCCAGGTTGGCCTTGAACTTACTATGTAGCCCAGGCTGGCCTCAAGGTCATGGCAATCCTCCTGCCTCAGCCTCCTGAGTGCTGGGACTACAGGCATGCACCACTTTCCCTGGCCTACCTACCTTTCAAATAGGTAAGATTAGGGTTTGAAAGCTAACTAACAAGCTACTGATTGAGCAAAGAAGACCAAAGAAGTCTGGATGAGCGATACAGAGCTGATGGTAGGCACAGAAGAAAAAAAGACTGGGGAACCCCTCCCCCCCAAAATTAATGGAAGAATAGCATTGTATAGCTGAGTATGGTGGCACACACCTGTTAATCCCAACACTCGGGAGGCTGAGGCAGGAGGATTGCCATGAGCTTGAGGCCAGCCTGGGCTATATAGTAAGTTCAAGGCCAACCTGGAATACAGAGTGAGACCCTGTCTCTAGAAACAAAACAAAAGAATAGGGATATATAGGTTTGCTTTGTAGACTAGTCTTAAGCATTCCAGGGTGACAGCTATGAATTTTGACAGATCAACTGCTACAGTTTGGAAATGTCTCCCAAAAGCCTATTTTTTTAGGGCTTGGTCCCCAGTCTATAGGAGGTGGGGTCCAATGGAAAAGAGTCGTATCAGCAGGGAGTACCCTTTAAGAGGAATTTTTTTGGAGACAGGGTCTCCCTGTAGTTCGGCTGGCCTTGAACTGACTATGTAGCCCAAGCTGAGATCAAATTCAGGTGATTCTCCTGCCTCAGCCTTCAGAGTGCTGGGATTACAGGTGTGCACCACCACAACCAGCTTGAAGCATCCACTGGGATGTGCATCTTTTCCTTTCCCTTTGCTTCCTGACTGCATGAGATGAGCAGCCTCCTCTCCCAAGTGATCTCCACCATGAAGTACTGGACCACCACAGGCCCAAGCAGTGGGGCAGAGAACATGGACTGACACCCCTGAAACCATGAGCCAAAAATCACTTCTTCCGGCTTTTAAGCTGATAAATCTCAAAACTGAGGACTCTGTCAGGTGTAGCTTTATTGCAACAAACAGATCAATGGATGACCAAAATATTTACATAATGATGAATGAAAATCACTAGCATATGTCCTCAACAATTTGAAAGAAAATATATTCAGAAAAGAGACTGAAAATATGTTAATAACAAGTACTTTCTAGGTAATGGGTTAATATATAATTTTTTCCCTTTTCAAATTTTATTTAATGAACATCTTATATACTTGTTTGTTTGGGGTTTTTTTGGGTACTGGGGATAGAACTGGGGACCTTGTACTTGCGAGGCAAGTGGCGGAACCACTGAGCTACATCCCCAGCCCCTTGTTTGTTTTTTTGAGACAGGGTCTCGCTATGTAGTCCAGGCTGCCCTTGAACTTACTACTAGCCCAGGTTAGCCTGGAGTTTGTGGTGATACTCCTGGCTCGGCCTGAGTGTACCACTGTGCCCTGTGGCAAAGATCTTTTTTCACAAAAGATTTTCAGGGTTCTTGCCATTCTTTCTACTTCTTAAAGGCAGGAATATGACGGTAGTGTACTTGCCTTGTGTGAGTGAGGCATCTGGACCCCAAACAAAAAGCTAAAGATATGGGGGTCAACAGTAAGGATTAGAGTGGCAGAAAAAAAAAGGAATACCAATAGAGTAACACTATAATTAGCAATTTCTTGAGATATATGTTAGGAAGTGTTTTTCCTTGTAAGGAAATGGATTTATGCTGCTCAATTATCCCAAAGAGAGATGGAGATTTCCAGTCTGAGAAGGAAACAGAGTGAAGAAGTAGAGAGCCACTTGAAGATTCTGAGATTCCCATGCATGAACCAGACAGCCCTGATGACATTAGTGCTAGGAAGGTGACTTACTGAGAAATCTCTCTTAGGAGTGAGCTTCTTAGGGAAGTGATCAAAGGCATAGGGTTTGGTGCAGACAGGATAGCGGTTCCGATGGATCTTGTAAAACAGGTGTGCTGACTTGTCCAGCCGATAATCACAGATGTACACATCTTGTTCCTTTACTCCTTTGGGTCTCCCTGTGAGTCCAAACACTGTTAAAGAATCCAACTTCCCCTTCGATTTCCCTTAGCTGCCCAGAGGCCAGCACAGACCTGTGGGAGAGCAGCTAGACCCACAAGAGGAAAACACTGTAGCTACCTGGAATGGCTGTACAGCTAAGCATTTGGTATTTGGAAAAGAAAGAGTAATTCTCAAGACACCAGTTTCCAAAAAAGAGACAAAATATAAGCGCAAAATGGAGTAATATAGGATAGAAGGAAACCAGAAATACAGATTGAGTGTTGCAGAGATTCTTGAGTAAATATTTTGAAGGGAAAACAGATTTTGGGTGGAGTCATGAGAAAAAAGAGGAGATATAAATATGAGGGAAGGAACACTTGTTGTTTTGGTGAGACATTATGTAGCCCAGGCTGGTCCTGAACTCAAAATCTTCCTGCCTCAGCCTCCCAAGTGCTGGGATTTCATGTGCTCACCATGCTCATCTTGGACACAAACATTTTTCTTTTTCTTTTGAGACAGGTCTTGTCAAGTAGTTCAGGCTGGTCTTGAACTCACTATGTAGCCCAGGCTGGCCTCACACTCGGGGTGATCTTCCTGCCTCAGCCTCCCAAGTGCTGGAACTAAAGGCATGTGCTACCATGCCCAGGCAGAAACACTTTTAAATAGGAGGAAGAGGTGTCATCAGTGTTACAGAGCTGCAAGCAGTTTGTCAGTTTTGGAGTAGAAAATTTTTTTAAAGTTTATTTTATCCCATTCCCCCTTCAAGCCTCCTCCTCTCCCTACATACAAAAGCTTTGTTTGGAGTGGAATATTTTGACTACCTTGCTTTGTAACTGAACTCTGCTAATGAAGACAATAAACTATAATCAAACTTTTATTGTAAGTCATAAACTGAGCAAGTACTTTTATGGAGTATGTAATCTTTACCATACCCCACTCCCTTGTGCTGATCAATGAACCCCGAGGCTTCACAGGAAGCAACATCCTTCCCCTTCTCATTTTCTGAGACCGGCTCCTGCTAAGTCCCTAAACTGCACAGGCAGGGCATGAATTTGCGATCCTCCTGGCTCAGACTCCCAGAATGCTAGGATTACAAGCATGTTCTTTAAAATAAATATTAACACTATCTTCTGTAAGAAAACACTTTTATGCCTGTAAGCCCAGCACTCAGGAGGCTGAAGTAGAAAGACTGCTGTGAATCTGAGGCCAGCCTGGGCTACACAGAGTTCAAAGCCAGACTGAACTACATAATGAGACCCTCTCTCAAAAAAAAAAAGGGAAGAAAGAAACGAAGAAAGGAATGAAGGAAGGAAGGAAGGAAGAAAGAAAGAAAGAAAGAACCCCCTAAGGTCACACAGGTAAAATGTGTTGAAGCCAGAGTTTACAATTAGCACACAATATTTGAAAACTTTTGGGCTGGGGATTTAGCTCAGTGCTGCTGTGCCTGCCTCACAAGCGCAAGGTCCTGAGTTCGATATTTGGTACCAAAAAAATTATTTTTAAAACTAAATTTATTTATTTATTTTCTGTTACTGGGGTTTGAACTCAGGACCTTGCACTAGTCAGGCAGGTGCAGCACCACTGAGCTACATCCCCAGCCCTCTAAATTTTTTTTCTTTTTGGTACCGGGGATCAAACCTCTAAATTAAAAAAAAAATAGTAGGAATGAACATTTACTGGGTACCAAGCACTAGATAAAACAAAGAGAAAATGGAGTATTTTTCTCTGAAGTTTCACAGCTAGCACTCAATCTTTCATTAGACAGAGACAACAAGAATGAGGTGATTAACTATAGATCAGAGAACAGGGGCTATGCAGTTGGTTCTTACGCAGCTGAAATCATTTACCTTTGCAATAAGTATAGAGGTCCAGCACACAGCAGGTCCCCACTACAGCCTCCAAGGGAATGATCTCATAGAGCGGCACCCGAAAGAGCTCATTGTGATAGAACCGACGGGATGGAGAGTGGTGGGTTTCATGGGGACGGAAATAATGGTGACCAAAGGCAAACCTTTCCTCTCTAAATAGAAGGAAAAAAAAGAAGGGATAGATTTAGTTGAGTAGCAGGATCTAGTGAATACTTCGGCCCTGCTGGTGGGGTACAGCTGGAAGAAAATGAAAAGAATACAGCACATACTTTTCATTCTTCCAAAGCTTCTCGATGCGGAAGATGTCAAGTTTATCTCGGTTAATGTGAGATAACAGTCGATAGGACTGCCGGACAGGGTGGCCATCGGGGGTGCGCCGACTGTCCCTCATCAGATACACACAGTCACCTAGGAAGGCACAGACCAAAAGAGAGGGTTAAAATAATTTCCATTTCTCTGACCCAGGGTCTACAAAGAAACGACTGACTCATCTAAAATAATACATAGATGCAGAGATAAAACAGTGTAACAGTGATGATAATCAATTTTAGACTATAAGAATGACACGAGAGAGGTCTTCCATCTTTTGGACTTGAGTGTCTTAGTTTTTTTTTTGAGACAGGGTCTCACTATGTAGTTCAGGCTGGCCTTGAACTTACTATGTAGCTATGTAGCTCAGGCTGGCCCCAAACTTGCAGCGAACCTCCTGCCTCAGCCTCCGGAGTGCTGGGATTACAGGCATGTGCCGCCACGCCCGGCATTTTCTTAGTTTTAAAGTTAGGTCTTTTTTTTTTTGAGATAGGGTCTCACTTTGTAGTCCAGGCTGACCTTGAACTTGCTGTGATCTTCCTGCCTCAGCCTCTCTAGTGCTGGGATTACAAACACGCACCACAATGCCAGACCTAAAGTTAGCTTTACAAACCTCTCTCTGTACAGATTAGAACAGTGAACCCTCAATTTAAAACCAGCCTGACATATGAACAATTTGGGTTATGACTGAAATTTTATTTATTTTTTTTTTTGGAGACAGGGTCTTGCTATGTAGCTCAGACTGGGCTTCAACTCACTATGTAGTCCAGGCTGGCCTTGAACTTGTGGCAATCCTCCTGCCTCCGTCTCCAGAGTGCTGGGATTACAGGCATGCGCCATCATGCCCGGCCAGAATTTTAGTTTTAATTTATGACCAAAGTCTTAAGTTACAACTCCAATGCTGGCCGCTTGTGTTTCCAGATGGTCTCAGATACAGATTTAACCCTTAACGAGTTCTGGAATGAACATTACAACATCCTTTCCAGTCCCTTCTCCACAGTCAGGCTTCCACCAACCGGAGTGATGGCTTACTAACTACATAATCTCTTTTATTTCTTTCCAGATCCTTTGTTTTTGTTTTTGCGGTACTGGGGATCCAACTCAGGACCTTGTGCTTGTGAGGCAGGCACAGCACCACTGAGCTAAATCCCTGGGCCAACAACATCTTTTCCTGTGTGGGGTTAACTGAGAAATCCTGGGCCAGTGTCTCTCTAAAGACACTGAGATCTGCCTGTGTACAGGAGAGAGACTCTAAAGGCTGTGCAGAGGAAGGAGCCTGAGCCTTACCTGACCATCTTCAGTTACAACAAACCCTCGAGAATGCATTGAGATCCTAAATCAAGGGTCCACTGTATTATATGGTAGAGGCATGATACTATGTAAGCATAAAGTGTACGAATCTATATTCTATTGCTAGTAAAGGCCATATGGAGGGCCCGGGATTTAGCTCAGTGGTTCCGCTGCCTGTCTCACAAGCTCAAGGTCCCGAGTTCAATCCCTGGTACCAAAAAAAAAAAGGCCACATGGGACAGTAACTACTACATGAATAGCAGATACTTCCTCCCAGTTCATATTATTATTATTTTGTTTTGTTTTTAGATTTATGAGTTTTACTGATAGCACTGAAGGTCAGATTATAATTATTACTTTTTTTTTGAGACAGGGTCTTGCTATCATGTCCAGGTTAGACTTTGAGCTCACTATGTGGCCCATGCTGGCTTTGAACTTGTGATCCTCCTGCCTCAGGTTTCTGAGTGTTGATATTACAGGTGTGTGCCACTGTAGCTGACAAAGGTCAGTTCTGACAGGTGGGGTTGGTTAGAATCTGTGTACACACCTTGACGAAGCAGCAGGTCGTCTCGAAGCAAGCAGATGAAGTAGACACAGCCGGGCTGGGCATAGTGGGGCCGTGGGATCATGGGTACCTCCTGGTAGGGCAAAAAGCCATGGGTGAGGGCTGGAATCGATGCACCAAGCCTGCTGATCTCCAGTCAAAAGAAGAGCCAAATCCCCAACCCTCAGGCCCACCATTAAGTCATTTCAATACCCCACAGATAAAAGACAAAAGCAACTGGAGTTATTAAATTTGGAAAAGTGGAATTAGAGGACAAAGCTAGCAGTCTGAGCATCTCAATCAATATTTTAGGGAGAATGACTGTGTGGTTGCTCTGTGTTACCTAGGAGACACCCAACGATGTGTTAAGTCAGCTTTGATTACTGTAATGACTGGGGGTGAATACACCGGTATTCAGAGTTCAAGGGCCAGGGAAGCCAAACTTTCTGAAATGCATCTTGTACAACAAAGAGCTGTCTACCAAAAAAGGACAGCAACAGCACTGTTAAGAAACACTGAGCTGGGCGGTGCAACCGTAACTGTCCAGGAATAAAAATCGGTGTGCCTAGAAGCAGATTTTAAAGGTGGTTTCTCCCTCATCTCTTTTCATACCACCTGATAAGCTTTTTGATATATCATGGCAGCGGCAGCAGCAGTAAAATGGGCGATATCAAAGAGAGCTATCTTGAAGCATTTATTTCCAATCCAAAATGGAGCTTTATCTTGTGTTTGTTGTAAATCTACGTATTCATCTCTTCCAGATGACTATAACTGCAAAGTAGAGCTTGCTTTGACATCTGATGGCAGGACAATACTATGCTACCACCCTTCTGTGGACATTCCATATGAACACACAAGATTCATCCCTCAACCAGATCCTGTCCATAATACTGAAGAAACACATGATCAAGTGCTGAAAATCAGATTAGAAGAAAAAAGTGAATGCCTTGAGCAAGGACCCATGATAGAACAACTTAGTAAAATGTTCTTCATGACCAAGCACCGTTGGTACCCTCATGTGCTGCATCACAGATGTCATATGAAACTGAATCCTCCAAAAGATAGATGATATTGAGGTTCTTGGAAGAACTGGAGAAATTTTATCTTGTGCCTCTTTTGCCATTGGAGAAAATACACTCTGATACTGTGGTAATAGTAAAGTAATAAAATGTCATTTCATTAAAAAAAAAAAAGAAAAAAAAAGAAACACTGGGCTGGGAATTTTTAGCTCAGTGGTAGAATACTTGCCTAGCATGTGCCAGGTCCTGCATTCAATCCCCAACCCCTCCACTATCTGCACAAAACCTGCCTAAATCTCTTCTTTTAGAGAGATGTGCCCAAGATCACACAGTAAACATGGCAGCACCAAGACAACAACCCATGTAGTAACTTGGGCAGGTTATGAGACCTTATGTACTGTAGACTAGGCCAAAGATGAACCTTTGCTGATTCTGAGTCCAGTACACTTTTCTCTTAACACTGCCTAATATAAGCGCTATTTACAGTACCAAGTTCTGTATTTTATAAGCTACTCCTCATATGGACAACTGACAGTATTTATAAAAAAACTTATTTTATTTTATTGTTTTGAGATAGGTCTCACTATGCAGTTCAGGCTGACCTTGAACTTAATATGTAGCCCAGGTTGACCTCTAAATCATAGTGATCCTCCTGCCTCAGCCTCTTGAGTGCTCGGATTATAGGCACGTGCCACCATAACGAGCTAAAAACCTTAGTTTTATATAATACCATTCCTTCTTCAGATTTCTAAGTATTTTCATATTCCCTTTGATCATATGCCTGAGGAAAGGACGGGTAGAATCACTGCCCTCGATATAAAACTTAAGAAACAGGCCCACAGGGTTGAACAACTTAAAGGAAATTCTGTGTAGTAGCAGTAGGGTGGAAAAGATACCATGTGCTATATCTTCTACTTACAGACCAGAGTTTTCTCAGGGGATACCTTACCCTGTCCACAGGCCTGGGGTCACACTGCTCACAAAGATAGTGCTCCACATCTGAGTTCACACCCATACAATCACAGTGCTGCCACACCTATAGAAAAGGCAAAATTGAGGAGAGAATAGGGGAATTTTGACTTACTTAGTAAATCTTAGGGGGCAGCTTGGTATGCTGGCACACAACTGTGGTCCCAGTACTTGGGAGGCTGAGGCAGGAGGACCTCCATGAGTTTGAGGCCAGCCTGGGCTACAGAGTGAGTTCCAGACCAGCCTGAACTACATAGTGAGACCTTATTTTAAAAAAACAAAAAAAACCCCCAAAATCAACAACCAAACAAACAAAAATGTCCTAGAAGCTAAGAATAAAAAAAATAGCAACAAGACAAGGTAAAGTAAAATAGGAATTCCCTGTTATTGGGGGGCTGAGGCAGATGGACAGCAAGTTTAAGGCTAGCCTGAACTACATAGTGAGACCCTATCTCAAAAAACAAAACAAAACATAGGTAAATAAAATGGGGAGATGATGAATAAAAAGACAAATGAATATACTCCGAAACTATCACTTATTAAAAACATATTTATGATGGGCCGGGGATTTAGCTCAGTGGTTTCGCCGCCTGCTGCGCAAGCACAAGGACCCAAGTTCGATCCCTGGTACCAAAAAAAAAAACCATATTTATGATGTAGCCACTATGAAAGGCTTTACAATCATAAAATGTTTTCACTTAGCCTTCTTTAAATATCCTCTCAACACCCTATGTGTTATTCATAGCTCCACTTTACACAAAATGTAAGGAGTTCATGTGTATTAAAGAGGAGAACAGGGCTCAAATCTAGGCCTTGATTCCTCCATCGGCAGTCTTACATGGATTTATGTATTACAATTTATCAGTACCCATACTATAGAGATTATATTATCTCTAATGCTTTTCAAGGTAAAGCATTACTCTAAATACTATCTTCCTTGATCTGTATTATGAGATGAGTACAGTGAAAAGTGGTAGAAAGAATGGGAGGTAGTTTTCTTCATATGTGGAGTCTAGGGGGAAAAAAAAAGATGATATAAATATAGAAAAGGGGAGGGTGAAGAGAAAGGAAAAAGAAAAGAAATGAGGTATGTTAGGTACATGTAATAATTCCCCACATTGAATGTAATCATTATGTACTATAAATATGTACTAAAAAACAGGCCTGGTGTGGTGGTGTATGCCTGTAATCCCAGGACTTTGGGCTGAGGCAGGAGGACTGCTGTGAGATTGAGGCCAACCAGCACTACATGGTGAGTTCAGTGCAGCCTGAAGCAGACAGTGAGACCTTGTCTCAAAAAAACCAAAGCAAAACAAAAAAGTGGAAGGGAAACTATTCTGGAAAGGGAAAGGGGACAGAGGAGGGGTTGGGACGAGAGGAAACAGGGAGGTAGATACGATTGAAATAAATTATATTATGTATGAAAATGTCACAGTGAAACTTAATATTCTGTATATTCCATATGTGCTAATAATTATAATTATAAAGAATGGGAAGTAGGGCTGGGGATTTAGCTCAGTGGTCGCCGGCTGCTGCACAAGCCCAATGACCCAAGTTCGATCCCCGGTACCAAAAAAAAAAAAAAAAAAATGAGAGGTAGCAAAAAACAGGAAAGAGTAAATGAGAGATATAAAAGAGGAAAGAGTAGGTTCAATGGTGAGGGTTAACAGATGCCAAAGCTAAGTTCCAGTTCATAAAAACCCTGTCAAGCCAAGAGAGGTATGGCTGCTTCTTTGAATAAGGTCACTAGGCTTGCATTTCACCTCCTAGCCCTCACCATGCATTTGTCACACTGGATCATGAGGCCTTCATCCTTGTAGAGGCCACAGATACAGCGGATAATGTCATCGTCCTTCTCATGCCCGTTCTCTTTCTCAGAGACTGAGGTTTCACTGCTGTCCGCTTCACTTGCTGTTTCTCCCACAATCTCGTCAATCTGGGCTGATGCCTCATGCCGGGCATTGTAATAGGCCTTACGTAGGCGGCAAACACCTCTTCCAATTGGGGATTTACGCCCGTAGTACTTCTAAAGAAAGCAGAAGAAAAATTTATGTTTGGTTTTATTTTTTTTTTGTTTGGTTTTAATTTAAAAATACACCTGAATAGGTAGCATGATTTATACATTCCCACTTTGGGTAACAGATTTTTTTTTTTTTTTTTTTTGGTACTGGGGATCGAACTCAGGTCCTTGTGCTTGCAAGGAGGCAGTGAAACCACTGAGCTAAATCCCCAGCCCAACAGATTTTTTATAACATCAAATGTAGACAAGCATACCAAAAAAAAAAAAAAGGTAGACAAGCTGGTGGTAACAACTTAAACTGAACTACAATAAATTAAAATTTCTATCTGCATGTATTTTCCCATTTTCTCTATTGCTGTATTATTCAGTTCCAGGCAAAGGCTTTATTGTCACCAAGATCAAATATAAAGTGATCACTGAATAGGAATTACTATCTCATGTATCGTAAAGGTTCTCTATGTGGCTTTGTCTTGTAGATGTTTGGGACAGACTTAGATGGTGAATGAATGTGAAAGGTGAGTTTCAGTAGAAAGAATGCTGTAATTCAAGAATGCTCTTCAATCCCCCGTACCGGAAAAAAAAAAGAATGCTCTAATTCTCACTTGTCTGGTATTCTCTCGCTTTGTCTTTCAACCTCTTGTTTTTTTTTTTTTGGTATTGGGGACTGAATTCGGGACCTTGTGCGTGCAAGGCAGGCAGCGGAACCACTGAGCTAAATGCTCACCCCTTGTCTTTCAACTTCTACTCATCTTTTATCTAGTAGCCTCTTCTGTCCTCCAAACACTCTCTTTAAATTTACTGAATAATTTTCTTTCTATGCACTATACAATATTCTATCCTGTCCTTTAAATCATTTCAAGGCCATGGTGTCTCTAACTGGATTCACCTCTTCTACAATTTATCAGTATAATTCCCTTCCAGATGTATTTTCTAACTATTTACCTACACATTTTTTTGTGTATTTCATACGTACTTATTTTCTTGAGAGAAAAAACTACAGATCTGCCTCAAATATAGTAAAATGACTATATAACATAAATATAAAAGTTCAGGGCCAAGTTACAATTTTACAAAAATTGTTGTTCTGGAGGAATGATTTAATCTTCCATTCTAGAATGTCTTTATTATATAGGACTCTATGGTACTCAGCACATTATAATCCATACACCAAGAATATTCCATAAAAATGACTGGTTTTCCTAACCAGAAACATGGAAGATGATTGAGGGTAAAAATACCCACCCACCCCTTTTTTGGGTACTGGGAATCAAACTCAAGACCTTGCACTTGCAAGGCAGGTGCAGAGTCACTGAGCTACATCCCTGGCCCTTGAGAGTAAAAATCTTAAATTTCTAGAATAGTTCTATTTAGAACAAACTTCTTAAACCTGTGCTTGAAGCCAGTGAATTATACCTCAGCATTCCGAAAGACCTTGAGCATGTCAGCATCAAAAGCTTCCACTGTCTTATAATAACCAATGAGAATCTGCTTTTCTATGGTGATCAGATCTAGAGGGTCAGAGATCTTCTCATAATAGTCAGCGTTCCTAGGGGGAAAAAAAGCCAGGTCGTCAATCTGGTTCACTTAGTACTTTTTAAAAACTCAGATGATTACCACAAATGTGAACCTACTTTTTCTTTGAGGGGAGGTTCAAAAGTGGAGCTGCCAGTGTTTGTCGGGAAGAATCTGCAAAACAATGCAAGGTTTAGTAGAAAGAGTAAGGTACAAGAAGGGTAAGCACATCTCCTTATTTTTTAGTTTTTATTTTTGGTTTGAGACGAGGGCCCAGGCTGGTCTTCAATTCATAGGCTCAATCCTCCCACTTCAGCCTGCTGAGCAGCTAGGACTACAGATATGTGCCACCATGTCTGTCTTTTTATTTTAAATTTTTTTGTATTATTAGGGATTAAAACTCAGTGCCTTATGCATGCTAGAAAAGCACTCTTCACCTGACCTATACCCCTAGCCTACAAACATCTTCTAACTAAAAAAAGCAGAATCCCCCAAATGAAAAGTTAGAAAATAATACTATTTGTTGTTGTTGTTATTTATTTATTTATTTTTTGGTACCAGGGATCAAACTCGGGACTTTGTGCTTGTGTGGCAGGCACAGTGCCACTGAGCTAAATCCTTGGGTGTTTTTATTTTACTTCTGGTACCAAGGATTGAACTCAGAATCTTGCGCTTGCACAGGCAGGCGTGGTGCCACTGAGCTAAATCCCCAGCCCTGTCTATTTTTTGAGATAGGGTCTCACTACATAGTTCAGGCTGGGCTTGACTTCCAGTGATCCTCCTTGCCTCGCCTCCCCTAGGAGTACATGTGTGCATCACTGTGCCTAGCTAATTCTAAATTTTTTTCTCTTGAGACAGGATCTCACTATGTAGTTCAGGGTGCCCTTAACTCACTACGTGGCCCAGGCTGGCCTTGAACTCACAGTGATCCCCCTGCCTCAGCCTCCCCAATGCTGGGATTACAGGCATGTGCCACCAGACCTGGTTGAGAACTTCCTATGAAGAGAGGGATGGAAACTTACTGAGACAGCTGGATGGCTGATGGCCAATTTCTACTCAAATGGTCTCGTAACAACAAAAAGTTCATCTCATCCGAAGAATGCTTTCCAGTTCTTCTTGTTAGCCCATAACTAATGCTACTTTGTTGGTTTGGATTTGATTAAGTTCCAGATAATGAGTAATTAAGCCTGTGACTATTTCTTGAACTCGTTTTCCTACACAGTTATTCTATATGGCACAAACAATTATGCAGAAGGGTTATTTCTTATCTGCTTCCTTACTTTCTGGCAATTTTACTAGGGAGAGAGAGAGACACAGAGAGAGAGCATGCCTGTGGTCCATTCTCAGAACACAGTGGCATGGCAGGTACATCTATTGCAGGTTCAAGATGGTTCACAGGGGGCTACTTTAGAACGCAATGTGTGATTTTTGGGGGGAGTATAAATGGAATAGGTGCAATAAAACTTTATACCTTTGGACAGTCTGATCTCTCTTTTCTATGCCCTTTGATTAGCTAGTCTCAAAAACCAACCGGACTGGAGATTTAGCGCAGTGGCACAGTGTCCACCTCGCAAGCGCAAGGTCCTGAGTTCAATCCCCGGTACCAAACACCACCACCACCCAAAATACCAAAGATAGAGATAGAGAAAGTAAAAGAACCAAATTTCTCAGAATTTAGGAAATAAAAACACATTAAAGTTGACAGCCAAAAGCCACCATTATTTGTCAAAACCTCATTTTAAATATACTCAAATTTATTGGTCACAAAGAGTTACTCATATAGGTAACACATGCCTGTTATCCCAGCTATTTGGGAGGCTGAGGCAGGAGAATAGCAACCTGGCCAACTTAGCATGACCCTCTCTCAAAAAACTAAAAAAGAAAACAAGTCACTCATATTATCAAATTACCCATCCTTCCCAAACAACAACAACCACCACTCTCCCTTTCCCTCTCCTACCTCCAACGAATGTGTCTTGGAAGAGAAAAAGGTGGAGGAGAGGTGTTTGCATGAAAACTCTTCTAAAGTAAAGGGTAATTTTCTTTTCTTTTCTTTATTAAGAAAGAAGACTGCCCTTTTATTTTTTTTCAGACAAGGTCTCCATGATGGTGACCCTCCTGCCTCAGCCTCCCCAGTGCTAGCATTACAGATATGTATCACCAAGCCCAGTATTGGTAAATTTCAATGGTTGTTTTTATTTGTTTGTTTTTACGGTGCTAGGGTTTGAACCCAACACCTCTCGCATGCTATATGTTCTTTTTTTTCCCCAGTAAGAGATCCATAGTTTTTATTAGATTCTCAAAGAACTGTCAATCAAGCAAGGCTAAAAACTACTGATAATATATTCATAATATTTATTCTTAAATTAGTAATTCACTATTTTTCAGGGAAATTATTGAAGGCAGAGACCTGCATCCTATAGATATAGGAAGAGGCTAGCTATCCTCTAGCTAAAAAATTTGTGATTTTTTTTTTTTTTGGTTGTGGTATTGGAGATTTGAATCCAGGACCTCCTCAATAAGCTAAATCCCCAGAACTTTTTTTTTGAGGTGTTTTTTGTTTTTTTTTGGGGGGTAGGTACTGGGGATTGAACCGAGGACTTTGTACTTGGCAGGCAGGTGTGGGGCCACTGAGCTACATCCCCAGCCCCCAGACTTTTTTAAAAAATTTTGAGACCTGGTTTTGTTAAGTCACTGTGGTACCCAAGCTGGGCTTGGAGTGGTGGGGATCCTTTAGCCTCCCAGAATGCTAGGGTTAACAGGTGTGTGCCACCATGTCTAGCTAAGATTCTTTGATTCCTTCCTTCAGACAGGGTCTCTCTCTGTAGTTCAGGCTGACCTTGAATTCACTAGGTATCCCATGGCAATCCTCTTGCTTCAGTCTCCTGAGTGGTGGGATTACAGACACAAGCCACCATGCTCACCTCTTTTTTTTTCTCCTCAAGATGAGGTCTTCCTGTGTCATTCAGGCTGGCCTTGAACCCACTATGTAGCCCAGGCTGGCCTTGAACAAGAGGCTTTGGCCTCTTGCCTCAGCTTCCTCAGTGCTAGACAGGTGTCTACCACCATGGGCAACCCAGCTATGATTTCTAAGTACACACTGAACTGTAGTAAAATTATAATTAACACAAATAATTGACATGCAGGACCTTAAGAGTTAAAAATCACCCTCCCAACTGGAGTTGCAGCTCAGAGGTACAGAATATGTTTAGCATGCTCAAGACTGCATTCAAATCCCTGGAGAAAATAATCTGTCCTCTAATTCTAGACTCTCTGACAAAATAAACTTCCTAAATTCCTAATCCCAAAATGTCACTTGTTCTTGGTCTTGTATGTCTCAGGACAGGATAAATGATATGCTTTTTAAAAAGGTATGGATGGGTCTGGGGATTTAGCTCAGTGGTTTCGCCACCTGCTGCACAAGCCCAAGGACCTGAGTTCGATACCCAGCACCAAAAGAAAAAAAAAAAAGGTATGGATGAACTTAAGAGTGGCTACGGTTACCTTTGTAAGAGATGATACCATCACAGATCTCTTTGAAGATCTGGGCTAGGCGTGCTGCCCGAGCTACTTCAATGTTCTCCTCTGCAGCTGCCAACCGTCTTGTTCGAACCGATCGAGCTGTCTGCAGGGCAGAGAACTGGGTCATGAAGACATCTGAAAGGATAAGGTGAAAATTAATATCAGGAAATGAGTTCTATATGACTTTTTCTTTCCCAATAAATTCTTGTTACTTGTTTTATCTTCTTTGAAATAATGAAGTAGAATTAGTGGGCACAGAGTTTTCTCTTCTGCTTAAGAAAAGTTGAACCACTGGTATTACTGGAGGCACAAATGCTGCAAAAGGGACATTAACTTAGTAGGCAAATGCCATAGTGTTGTAGCTGTATGTTCAGGCTTCAAAATGAGTCGGTCTAGACAGGCATGGTGGTGCATGTCTGTAATCCCACACTCTGCGACACTGAGGCAGGGGGTTGCAAGTATGAGCCTAGCTCAGGAAATTTAGTGAAACCTTGTGGGGGGGGGGGAGCCTTGGATGTAGCTCAGTGTGAAGGCCCAAGGTTTATTATTTATGTATTTATTTTGTTCTGTTTTTTTGAGACAGGGTCTCGCTTTGCAGTGCAGGCTATGCCAGTTTCTCTTCTTCCAGTCTGTTCTGGGTACTAGTAGTTGATCTCAGAAATACTGGTATATTACTCACTCATGAAGGTTAGAAAATGCCGGGCGTGGTGGTGCACTCCTGTAACCTCAGCACTCAGGAGGCTGAGGCAGGAGGACTGCCATGAGTTCAAGGCCTGGGCTACATAGTGAGTTCAAGATCAGCCTGAACTACATAATGAGACTCTGTCTCAGAAAAAAAGAAAAGAAAGAAAAAGGCTGATCTGAATGTGGGGAAAGAAGTCCTCAAATTTATGGTGATATATTTTTCCCCATAGTGCATTTGCTATCACTGTTTAATCTGTCTGCAAGTTATTTCCCAAATAGGAAAGAACACGGACAGCTCACTGTCTCATCCTTGTACCTATTTCAGAATGCAGGTGATGTACAGGAGGATAATAAAAGATTTCTCCCTATTCCCTAGAGTAAGAACAGGAAGTTGAAGAACTGGGATGGTTAGGTTAGGTTATTACTAATTAATGTGCGTAGATAGTATCCTTAAATATTTTGCTTTAGACTAAAAGGAACCTTTCAATAGACTGCTTGAAAGTATTAATCACCTTGGGGACAATTTTATGGAAATTTATTTATTTTTTGGAGACAAGGTCTTGCTATGTATTCCAGCTGGCACTGAACTCACTATATAGCCCAGGCTGGCCTCGGTGATCCACCTGCTTCAGTTTCCCAAGTGCTACAATTTTATTAAAATTTAATAGGAACAGGGCTGGGGATTTAGCTCAGTGGTTTCACCACCTGCTGCACAAGCGCAAGGACCCGAGTTCGATCCCCGGTACCAAAAAAAAAAAAAAATTTTAATAGGAACATTTCCCAAGCCTTACCTGATTTAATATTCCCATCATCTCGGCAGATGCCATTCCAACGGGTATACAATGATGATGAGTGAATATTATCACTGGTGTGCTTTACTTCCTCCTGTTTCTGACGAATCTTCTCCCAATTTCGGACTAAGAACACGTGATGCTTTAATACAAAGTTCCTGTAAGGAAAGAAGGTGGTCTTTTTATTATTATTATTCTTTAAAAAATTAATTTTATTGGTACATTTTAGGTATACAATATAATGACAGTCATCACTGGAAATTTGCACCTTACATAATCTTTTCATTAGTAGTATTATTCATTTACTCATTTATTGAATTTTTTGGTTTTCTGAGACAGGGTTGGGATTTTATCATTAAAAAAAAATTCTACTACTATTTTTTTTTTTTTGCTACCGGGGAACAAACTCGGAACCTTTCACTTGTGCAGCAGGCGCCAGAATCACTGAGCTAGATCCCCAGCCCAAAACATTCTAAATTTAAAATTTAAATAAAGGAACACAGACAGGCATTCCTTTATTAATTCAATAACCATTTATTGCATGTCCACTCTATGTAAGCCACTGTTATTGCTGTTGTTTTTTGTTTTTGCAGTACTGGGGACTGAACTCAGGAACTTGCCCTTGCCAGGCAGGCGTGGAGCCACTGAGCCAAATCCCCGGCCCTGTAAGCCACTGTTATATAAATGAATATCAGCAAATGGCGTTGCTGTAAAAAGAATTATAAGTAAAACATTATGCAATTTTGCAATTTGGTTTTTCTCACATATTTTCCCTATGCTATTCACAAACATCTGGCAAACACCATTTATTTTATTTTTTTTTGGAGACAGTCTCACTACGTAGTTCAAGCTGGCCTTGAATTCACTATGTAACCCAGGCTGGCCTAGAACTCAAGGGGATCCTCCTGAGTGGTGGGATTATAGGTGTGTGCCACCATGCCCAGCTTGGCAAACACAATATAAAAGCTATAAAAATTTTGGCAAGTGAAATAGTCAGACTGAAGGGCAGACATTTATGAAGTATTTGTACAAATTTTAAGTGTTTTTTTCCCCCCGGTATTGGGAAATTGAACTCAGGACCTTGTGTTTGCCAGATAGGCATGGCCCTATCTGTACAAATTTTAAGGAATGTTCCTAAAATGAAGTATGAGCTTAGAATACCTAGAAGATGGAGAACTCTACTAGCAGGTACAGGCAAAGATATGTGAGATGGAGAGAGGCTGGGCAAACTGAGAAATAGGCACAGTGCTTCTATATGGGTCTCTAAACTTAAATTAATTACATGTATCTTGACTGATGCTACATGACTTTTTCTTTGATCCTACATAAGTTTGATGATTTCATCATTTGATTTGCACACTAGCATACATATAAATAAGTGGGACTTTGGATAAGTCCTAAAATTATTTGCCATAGTAAATGGAGATTGTAGTTCCTGAATTTGCCTATGAATATCACCATGGGAAGCTTTATTTTTACTGCTTCTGGAAATTTTGGTTTAAGTCACTTGGGTATGGCCTGGGCCTTAGTAGTTTGTTTTTGGTGCTTCAGAAAAGAACCTAGGGCCTTGTGTATGTTAAACACATCCTCTACCACTGAATACACATCCGACTCCTATTTCTTCCAGTGTTGGGGATCAAACGGAGGATCTCACATGAGCTGCATCTCCGGCCACCTTGGGAATGTTTAAGCTTCTTGTGCTGGGCCTGACGCATGCCTATAGTTCAGCTACTAAGGAAGGGAAAGCAGGAGGATCAGAGTTTGAGTCTAGCCTGGCTAACTTAGTGAGACCCTATTTATTTATTTAAATTTTATTTTATCCTACTCCCCCAGCCCCGCTCTGTGTACAAAAGCTGTTTCCATTTTTTTCTTCTATTTTTACTTTTTTCTCTTGTCCCTTCCTTCCTTTCTCCGTCGCTCTTCCCTTGTTCCCCTCCCATTTGAACATCTTCCCATTTCCCAGTACCTATTATGCATTTTAGTCCTTATTTCCACTTTCAATTTCTCACACCAGAGAAACAATGTATTTAAATGTGTGTCTGATTTATTTCACTTAAGAGTATGAAATCCTATTTATTTAAGATTAAAAAAAAGCCCCTGTGCTAATATGCAGGTAGATGAATGGGATTAAAATTATGGAAGATTAGGAACTGGGGATTTAGCTCAGTTGCACTGTGCCTGCCTTTTGAGCACAAGGTCCTGAGCTAGATCCTCAGTACCGGAAAGAAAAAATGGACAAGTATTATATCAAGACACATTCATTTTGTCTACTTCTTGTGTTTTTACTGGTACTTGGGACCAAATCCCAGGAGCACTGAGCTATATTCCCAAGACTTTTTTTTTTTTTTTGATACCGGGGATCGAACTTGGGTCCTTGCGCTTGCGCAGCAGGCAGCAAAACCACTGAGCTAAATCCCCGGCCCTTTATTGCTCTGTTAACACATCAACAAAGCAATGATTATTTTATTTCATTTTATTCTATTTTGAGAGGCTGGTCCTGAACTCCTGGACTCAAAGTGATCCACCTGTATCAGCCTCCTAAGTACTGGAGGTGCATACACCAATATACCCAGCTTCAAAGCAGTCATTTTTGTTTTTTGAGACAGGGTCTCACTATGTAGTCCAGACTGGCCTGGGTCTCACTATATTGCCCCAAATGGCCTTGAACTTGTAGTGATCCTCCGGCTTCACCTTCCTAAGTAAAGTAGTGATTCTTAGCCTGTTCTGTGCCATGGATTCTTTTGGCAGTCTGGTGAAGCCTATGGAAACTTCCCTGAACAAAACTGTTTTAAAATTTTAAAATTAATTTAAATTTTCAAGTAATTTTTAATACACATTGAAGAGCACTGGTTTACCATGAGGAAGGCTCTGGGCTTCATAACCAGCAATGCAAAATGAAACAAAATACAACAGAAACCAAACAATACTGAAATAAAAGTTTTTTAAAAATGCCAAAGTTGTGATATGGAAGTATAGAGTAATTCTCAGCTGGGTGTGGTGGCACACACCTATAAGCCTAGTACTTGGGAGGCTAGGCAGTAGGATTCCCAGTTACAGGCCAGCCTGGGCTACATACTGAGTTCAAGACCTATTTAAACAACACAATGAAACTCCATCGCAAAGAGACAAACAAAAAACAATATATCTTTTTGTGTGTGTGTGGTATTGAGAAATGAGAACTGAACCTAGGCCCCTAAGCATAGAAAAATACATTAATTTTCACTGCATGACAAAATGAGAGTAGTAGGTCTGAGAACCATAGCAATTTTTGGTTTGTTTTTTTTTGTTTCTGAGATACAGTCTCACTGTGTAGTTTAGGCTGGCCTTAAACTCACAGCTATCCTCCTGCTTCAGTCTCCTGAATGTTGATTATATTTGTGTGCCACCATGCTCAGTTAGAACAACAGCACTTTTGAGGTAAAGAACATAAATGATATTCTAAGGGGGCTGGGGATTTAGCTCAGTGGTTCTGGCGCATGCCTCAAAAGCAAAAGGTCCTGAGTTCAATCCCCAGTACCAAAAAAAAAAAAAACAAAAAAGATATTCTGAGATATTTCTAATACTTACAATATGATATAAAAATATCTGTGAATATCGGTGACAAAGTAATGGACATTGCCAGTTCTCTCACTCTCTAAACACACACACATACTTTCCCTACAGTCATATTTGAAGGAAATGTCAAATTTCGTTAGAAATCAGGAAAATAAAAAAGAAATCAGGAAATACAAAGACATAATTATTTTCCCTATCCAAGGTCACAGATCCTCCAAACATTCAGCTTCAGACCTCCTGTACAAAATAAAATGAAACAATGGTAATAAATTTATTTATTTTTCTTTTTTTTTGGTACCGGGGATTGAATTCGGGACCTTGCGCTTGTGAGGCAGGTGACGGCACCACTGAGCTAAACCCCCGGCCCTAAATTGAGTAATTTTTTGAACTGACAAGCAAATCACATAATTTCAAAAGAATTCGGATAAGAAAATCCCCTTTTCACCTCTCTCGATTGGACATTGGCTTCATCTGTAATTGAGGGGTCAATCTTGTTGGGGTATTGATGTTTTCACTGGGCTCTTCAGAGAGATGGCCTCTCTAAAACACATGTAAGATGACAGAAAAAAAATCAAATCAGAAATAATCTCCAAGAACAGTAAAACCACACTTTAACTACCACCCTTCAATAATCCCCTCATTCTAGTAACTGCCTCGAAGCAGCTCATGAGCAGCTTCCAGGAAAAGCCACAAGATCATTTACCCTTTTCTTGAGCTTGTGCTTAGACTTTCTCTTTTCTTTCGACCGTGCAGACTTTTTATGTGTGGTCACAGGCTGGGTACTTTTGCTGCTGGGAAGTCCATTCATGCGTTGACTCTTGCCTCCGATGATTCCTCGACATTTCTCAAAGCCACACTTACAGAGTTGCTTTTAAGGGAAAAATAGCATTTTTTAAGCCTGTAGCCTCATTTACAAGTTCAAAGAAGATGACTGACCATTTGTACGCCCAAAATGAAGTATGAGTCAAGGAATTTGAATATACAGAGGAAAATAACTGAGACTATAATAAATAGATACTAGAGTGACTGAAATAGAAAAATTAAACTTAAAGAATACTTCTTCACCAAAAAAGAACTAACTAGAGGACTGGGGATTTAGCTCAGTGGCACTGCGCCTGCCTCATAAGCGCAAGGTTCTGAGTTGAATCCCTAGAACAACAAAAAAACAAAAACAAAAACAAAAAACAGCAACCCCAAATCTCCAAAAATCACTGTAAATGACAAAGTGCAATGTCACTCTTGGATTTATTGTTCTTACCTGTTTCTCAACATTGAAGGAATGAAAGTTGTAATCATAAGTAAGTTCAGTTCCAGCTGTCATATCTTTAAGTGCATACAATCCAATCCGGTATACTCCATTAACAGACCTATGAAGGGAAGAAAGAACAGATGTGGAGGCTGGGGTTTCTCCTCTTTGTGGCATTGGGATTAAACTCAGGGCTTCCCATTTGGCACTGAGCTACATTTCCAATCCTGTAACACTTTAGGGAGATAGTTGTAGTACAGGGGATTGAAATCGAAGAAAAATAATTCCAAGTTTCTTTCTTGAAATGTGATTGCTTTGGCTGTGATATTTGGGGGGGGTATGATCTACTTTATTTTTTTTATTGGTGGGGGGGTGTTTGAGACAGGGTCCCCCGGGATTATAGCACATGTTACCATGCCTGCCTGGCTGTGTGTGTGTGTGTGTGTGTGTGTGTGTGTGTCTGTGTGTGTGTCTGTGTGTGTTGACCCAGGGCCTTTTGAACTGAGATTAAAAACTCAGCCCTTTTTACTTTTTTTTAAATTCTTTTATTGGTACATTTTAGGTATACAATACATTTACATTTATCACTGGGTGCTTGTACCTGTACATGATGTGTCTTAGTTTTTATTTTTTCCCCCATTATCTAAGCGCCCTTCACCCCCTCCACCCATCCCTATTTACATAGATTTCATTTCCATTATTTTTCTTTTCTCGTAATTTTTCCTTTCTCTTCTTCCCTTTCCCCTTCCCCTACCACCATTATACCTTTGGACCTTTTCCTATTTCAAATTATCAGTTATTCATTTTAATCCTTATTTACACTTTCAGTTTCTCACACTAGAGAAACTATTCGGTATTTACACGTGTGTCCTATTTATTTCACTTAAGAGGATGGCCTCAATATGCATCCATTTAGCTATAAATGTCTCTAGTTTCTCATTCTTTATGGCTGAGTAGTACTCCATTTTATTAAAAAACCACATCTTTTTTATCCAGTTTTCAGTTGATGGGCACTTGGGCTGTTTCCAAGCTTTAGCTATTACAAACTGTGCTGCTATAAACATGGGTGTGCATATATCACTGTGGTATGATTCTTTTAATTCTTTGGGAAGATACCCAGCAGGGGAATAGCTGGGTCAAATGGGACCTCTAGTCATAGTTCTTTGAGCTATCTCCACAATGATTTCCACAGTGGTTGCACCAGTCTGCACTCCCACCAGCAGTGGAGAAGGGTTCCTTTCTCTCCACCAGCATTTGTTATTGGTTGATTTCTTGATAGCAGCCATTCTTTCAGGGGTGAGGTGGAATCTCAGTGTTGTTTTCATCTGCATCTCTCAAATGACCAATGATATTGAACATTTTTTCATATATTTATTTGCTGCTTTAAATTCTTTGAGAAATGTCTGTTCATTTCAGATGCCCATTTTTTAATTGGGTCTTTGAATTTGGGGTGTCTGATTATTTTCAGTTCTTTGTATTTTCTCAATAGTAGACCGTTATCTGAGGTACAGCTGCTAAAAACTTTTTCCCACATTGTAGGTTGTCTCTTAGCTCTGTTGGTGGTTTCTTTTGCAGTGCAGAAGATTTTTAATATGAGATCCCAGTTGTTGATTCTCTGTGCTAGCTCCCATGCTACTGAGGATTTGTTCAGTCTTTTCCTATGCCAATGTTTTCAAGAGTTCTACCTAACTTATTTTCCAGCAAGTTTAGTGTTTCTGTCTTAATATTTAATTTTTAATCCACTTCGATCTTAGTTTAGTGCATGGTGATAGGTATGGGTCTAGTTTTAATCTTTGGCAGGTTGAAATCCAGTTTTTCTAACACCATTTATTAAATAGGCTATCTTTCCTCCAATGAGGGTGGTTGGCTCCTTTGTCAAAGATGAGGTGGCTGAGTATGCCTGGAGTTCTTTCTGCATCTTGTAATCTATTCCACTGATCCTCGGGTCCCTTTTTATTTTATTTTTTTATTTTTATTGTCTGGTACTGGGGATCGAACTCAGGTCCTTGCGCTTGCACAGCAGGTGGTGAAACCACTGAACTAAATTCCCAGCCCCACTTTTTATTTTTTGAGACTGGGTTTTACCAAGTTGTCCATGTATGACTCAAACTTGTGATCCTTGTGGCTCAGTTTCCCAAATGCTGAGATTGCAGGCACTATGCTTGGCTTCATATATATTTTTGGTACTGTTTAACATTTTCCCCTTCTCAATTCAATTCTAAGCAAAAGGACTTAAACCTCACATTTCACTTATTTTTACTTTTTATTGTAACAAATCCACTAAGCATGTAATAAATTTGCAATAGACTGGGTAAGCTGATATGATTCATGTAGCAGTGTGTGGCACACGATAAGCATTCAATAAACATTAGATATTGATATTCTCATTATTTTTCTGAGAGTAATTAGGATGAACTGAAGAAACAGCAGCTTACTTTGCCTAAATGGTATGGTATAATGGTGAACTGCCTGCAAGATTTTTTTTTTGGTACCGGGGACTGAACTCAGGACCTTGCACATGTGAGGCAGGCGCCCACTAAGCTAAAACCCCAGCCCCTGCCTGAGATGTTTTATGTAAAGTAAATGGCACTGTGAAGAGAACATCTCTGGTTGCCCTCAATGCCTCCTACTCTGCCTGATTCCCACCTTCTCCTTTTTCTGCTTGCTTACCATTTCTGCATTTCACAATTTGGGTCACAGCTGTGGTTGATGAATCTGGCCTCATTTCCCATGCGGTAACTGTCAATCACCATCCCACTATCCAGGTTCAGGCAGTAGTGGTCACTGTGATTATGATACTGCTCAATCATCCTGTTCCTGAGGAGAGAAATGGTTGAAAGCAAAGCATTAAATTGAAAGTAAATTTCAAATATTTCATTCTTTCTAATCTTGTACCTTTATCATTTTTCTGGCATTATTATTTACTACTGTACCTGAACTCTTGTTCGCTGACAACCTCCCCTAGGTATTCAATGATGAACTGCCCAGCTTTTAGGGGTTCTTTGGTTCTGATTCCCCAACCTTTTTCCTCAGCTCGAAATCGTTCTAGACACTGTACCCATTCATGCCTTTGTATTCTCTGGTTACAGCACTGTTCACCACAGGGGCAGGTGTTGGGGGAACACTCAGCAAAAATCATTCTAGAAAGAAAAGGAACAATTGTACATCAATTTATATAATATGTATTTTACTGTACCCATTTTCTTTTACTGTGGTAGTGGGACTGAACTCAGGGAACACTGAGCTATACTGCTAGCCTGTTTTTAAGTTTTGGGACAAGATCTTGCTGAATTGCCTAAGTTGCTATGTAGGCTCAGGTTGGCCTCAAATTCATGACAAGATCTTGCTGAGTTGCCTAAGTTGCTATGTAGGCTCAGGATGGCCTCAAATTCATGATCTATCTCAGCCTTCTAAATGCTAGATGCAAGACTGGCTTTTACCCATTTATTTTTCTTCAAAAGAATTTTTTTTGTGGTATGTAAATAAAGTCCTTTATTTAATTTCATACACATTATGCATTATTATAGTTTTCTTGAAGGAATTCAACTTTCAATGTCAAAATTAGTATGTGTTTACACAAGAGGATATTTTCTTGATGTTATTGCTAGCTGTAAATACATCCTTCCACAATAATGCACTTTCAGATTTCATTTGCAAGACAGGACAAGCCTTTTTAAAGTCCTAAAACAATATTTATAAAGGGAAGACAGCACGAAAGTCTCAAGAAATCCTCCTTTCAAAACATGAACACAATCTCACAGGATTTTTATTTGATCACGATTTGGAGAAGAAAAGTTTATTCCTATTCTTTTTGATGCTAACATAGCTTTACTGATATGAATTTTCAAACCCATTTAGATCCAATAGGCTCTTTAATATATAGCCTTCTGATTATAAAAGCAACTGATTATACTTACAGAAAAATATGTACCAGAAAAAAGAAAACAATCAGAAAAAGAACAGTGAGAACATATTTTTCTTGTTTGATACCCCAAATAATTTACAGAAGGAAGTAAAAATAGTTTGGCTATAGTTTCTTTACAAGAATTTTTAACGTGAGGACATGAAATAACTTTTTTTTCCTGGTACTAGGGACTGAACCCAAGGTTTTCACACTGAGATACATCCACAGCCCTTTAAAATTTTTATTTTGTTTTGATGCAGGGTCTTGCTAAATCAACAAGTTGCCCAAGCTGGGCCTAAACATGCAGTCCTTCTGTCTCAGCTCCTGTCTCCGTGCCCAGCTGAAATAAAGTAACAAAAGTAGCCAAATCACTAGGATTAAAATAACATAGAATTCAAAAACAGCTGGATATGGTGGATTATACCTGTAATCCCAGCACTCGGGAGGTGGAGGCAGGAGGATAAACTGGCACAATGAGTTTGAGGCCAGCCTGGGATATACAGTGAGTTCAAGCTCAGCCTAAACTTCATAGTGAGACCCTGTCTCAAAAAACAAAACAACAAATGAAGCCACAAAAACAGAAACTTCTTCCAGAGTTCACTAGTTTATTCTTCAGAAAAATTCCATTCTTATTGTAAAGGACAAACAGCATAGTGTCAAATCATATATATGAGTAGAAAGCAGAGAGTATCCACTGGATTATTCTTTATATCAAGACAATCAACTTCAGTTGTGAAGAATTGCTTTATTGCTATATTCATCAACCTTGACCTTTAATTAATTAAATTAAATAATTTCTGTGCTGGGAATGGAACACAGGGCCTTTAGTATGACAGTGCTCTACCACTGAACTGTAACCCCAGTTCTCTTTTCTCATTTTGTTTTTGGATGATGCTGGGAATTGAACCCAGGGCCTCTGTACTGACACTGAGCTATATCAGCAGTTCTTTTTTCATTTTTTATTTTGGGACATGGTCTCACTGAATTTCCCAGGCTAGGCTTAAACTTGTGATCCTCCCATCTCAGCTTCCTAGAGTGCTGAAATTACAGGACGGATGCACCACCACACCTAGCTAGTTTTTTATTGACTTCTTTGTTAGGTGAATATTACTGAACACCTCTCCTGAAAATAACCTCCACTTCTGGCTTTCTTTTCTTTTATGAGACTGGATTTCCCAACATTTTTCTTTTTTTATTTTTTGAGACAAGGTTGGTTTTGAACTCACTTATGATTCTCTTGCCTCAGCCTCCTCAGTGTTGGGATGACAGGTGTTTGCCACCATGCCTGGCTAGATTTCCCACTTTCTCAGTAACAATTTTTGTCTTTTTGGGGGGGAGAAACCCTTTTTTCTTCTCATCCTATAGCACAATCCTTGGTGTTCTTTTCTTAGGCTCATCCATTCCAAAGGTTTTAATTAATATCCCATTCATAATATTGCAGCAATGTTTTCATAATATCTCAAAACACTTACAAGAATAAACTTAAAGCAAATTAAAAACTAAAATATAAGCTGGGCATGGTGGCTCATGCCTTTAATCCCAGCACTTGGGAGGCTGAGGCAGGAGCACAGCCATGAGTTCAAGGCCAGCCTGAACTACATGAGATCCTGTCTCAAAACACCCCCCCAAAACAAAACAAAACTAAAATACAGAGCCACATGAGGTGATCTGTGCCTATTTGGGAGGCTAAGGTTGGAGGATTGCTTGAGTCCAGGAGTTCAAGGCCAGGCTGGGTACTAGAGTAACACCCTGTCTAAAAAAAACTAAGGGGCCAGGGATTTAGCTCAGTGGCACCACACCTGCCTGGCAAGTGCAAAGTCTGAGTTTGATCCCTGGTACCAGAAAAGAAAAAACAAAAACAAAAACAAAATGAAGGTAAAAGTGTACCCAGATGAGAGGCTTCAATTTTTGGGGGGGGGGGGGGGGGACAAGGTCTTGCTATGTAGCCCAGGCTGGCCTCATGGAGATCCTCCTCAGCCTCCCAAGTGCTGGGATTACAGCTGTGTGCCACCACACCCAACAAGAGACTGCAATTTTAATTTTTTTTGCCAGAGATAATCATTCAGGGGTTGCTAAAATTTACAGTATTTACGCATTGTTTTAGAGTTGAAGGCATTGAAATATATTCCATTTGTTTAGAAAAAAACAAATAACAAAAAACAAAAAAAGACCACCACCAACGAAACAACCAAGATAAGTGCTTAAAAGTTGTGGATTTAGAAATATAAACTACCAGCTGGGCATGGTGGCACAGGGCTATAATCCCAGCACTCAAGAGGCTGAGGCAGGAAGACTGCCTCAAGGTCTAGGCCAGCCTGAATTACATAGCAAAACAAAACAAAACAGTGAGTTCAAGGCCAGCCTAAACTACATACCAGGACCCTGTTGCAAAGAAATATAAACTACCATTATGATCACTAGATTAAAAAAAAAAGAGAGCTAGATAATACCCTTGAAAAACAAGTTTTTTCTTCCCACTAAATAAAGATGTAGGTTTCAAGATGTGTTGTGGATAGCCAGGTGTTATGGAATATGCTTCTTATCTCAGCACTTGGGAGGCTGAGGCAAAAGGACAGACTGCCACAATGAGTTGAGGCCAGCCTGGCCTACAAGGTTAAGTTCAAGGCCAGCCTGAATTAATATAGTGAGACCCTAACTGAAAAAAAAAAAAATGATATATATACAGAGTCCGATTGAAAAAAAATGTATACACTTCAGCAATTAGCTGTATTAATTAAGTGTTTGGAAGCTACAGGCCACCACTATGAGCACCTCTTGTAATTGTAGAGGTGAAAGGTAACTTGTATAATCTCATGGTATCTCAATAAATTAATGGCTGGGCATGGTGGCACATATCTGTAATCCTAGCACTCAGGAGGCTGACCCAAGAGGGCTGCCACAAGTTCAAGGCCAGCCTGGGCTAGTGACTTCAAGGCTAGCCTGAACTACATAGTGAGACCCTGTCTCAAAACCAACCAACCAACCAACCAAGGCCCCCACCCACATAAACTAATTAAAAATTGAGAAAAAATATAGATCTAGGCTGTAGAGCCCTGTTTTTTTACATGGTAAGATTTAAGGTTAAATAGTCACTACGAAATGCACTAGTATGATTGACTTAACTAGCTATGAAGGTTCAGCATTCCCTGTGAATAGAGATGGGGTGGTTATTAAAGAGAAATACATAAAATATGTAGATATCTATATAACATGTATTTTTTGAGACAAAGTGTCACTGTGTAATTCAGGCTGCCCTCGGACTTGATGTGATCCTCTTGCTGCAGCCTGCTTAGCGCTGGGATCACAGGCATGCACCACACTCCTGGCTAAGAGATTAATATTGCCACTATGAATCACTAAGTCAGTATAAGTTAAGACTTGAAGCAGGGAAGAAGTGAACAAAATGTTATCTATTTTAGAATTTAAAGAACTATAGCCCTTCAAAAAATGAAGGTTCTGGGAGGCCGGGGATTTAGCTCAATGGCGCCGAGTCTGCCTCGCAAGTGCAAGGTTTGATCCCTGGTACAAAAAAAAGAAGGAAGGTTCTCAATGGTGGACAAGTGAGAAGTGAAATGTACTCTAATAACAAAAATAAGACTAGTCGGAAAGTAACAAGAGTTAAAAAGAGAAAAGAAATCCTGAGGTTTAGTTCAGGGTAACAACTGCTGGTAGCATCATAAATTTTTCTAGGCAATTCCATTTTGTTGTATACCATGTCTATACTTGTGGAGTTGAGAGAGGAGGCTCTGTCTACATTATAGGAAATGGGTACAGGGACAAAAAGCAGCTTGAAATGAATTACATGATTTTGCTCTAGGTCACGAGAAATGCTTTGGAGTAATTTGACATAGATGGTATACAGAAATAACTACCAGAACACTTATACAATGTACAAATAACACTGCTGATTCATAGACTCTGGAAGAGTGGAGTCCAAGAGAAAGACTGGATTTCCTCCCAATTTGAGCCCTTAAGGACTCAGACGAAGTCTGAAATTGAAGAGAAATGGAACCTTATTATGTATCTATTCCTATCTAAAGGAGAACAATAAATAGGAAGGGGACCAAGAGTTGGAGGGAGGGGAAAGGAGAGAAGGGGAAGTAAAGGAATTAAGATGTGTTATGTTCATGTGCCAACTCCCCGTGATGAATGTAATCATTATCTACTGTAAGCATGTACTAATAAGATTTTTTTAAAAAGGCATATTCAAAGAGACAGGAAATAGAACAGAGGATA